CTGCAAAGAGGGTAGGAGACATCAAAGAGATGGAGGAATTAGAAAGGAAGTAAAGAAAGGGGGTTGGGGGTACGCAACAATAAGGATGGTAGTCTAATATCATAGAGAAGCTAGAAAAAAGGTTAGCATCGAGTAAAATACCTAAAAGGGACATCAAAGCAATGGACTAAAAAATGTAGAAAATGTCAAATACAAAAACAGATGTTGTGTTAGGTTGCTAAGAAAATTCTTACTTTATGCATTTAGAAAATGAAATTACAATTGATTATATGCATGGTATGAACACTACAAGAAGTTATCACAAAACTCGACAATAGAGAATTACTTACCCCTATCATAAAACCATATACTCATGTTTTCAGCTTTCAGAGCTTATAAAGGATTACTTATCCCTATCATATAAACCTTATACTCATGTTTTCAGCTTTAAGAGCTTATAAAGTATGTTTTATTACACTGCATTATCTATAAGCCTCAACTTCTTAACTAGAAAACTAGCAACTCCTTATTAGAATTAAGAATCCATCAATGTGAATTTTAGTTCTACTAATGCCAGAGTGTTCATTGTGTTATTCCAGATCCTGAATTAGATTGGAGCGGATGAGCTCTATATTAGAAATAGTTAGGACTAGGAGATAATTATATTAGTTTGTTGAAGCTAGATTGCCTGAAATAAGGAAAATTTATCTCATTGTTCCAAGAACCGAAAGAGGCAAAGCAAATCTAGAGTACCAGCTTCATTGACAATGACTTTTATCGACCCATCCACCGGAAACTAGAATAGGAACTTCAATTGAAACAAACAGTTAATTCCATTATGGTGAAGAACTATAGAGGAAGAATCTGCATGAACAAGCCAGCCAATGTGGCAAAAGCAATCGAGAACATATCTCAATATGGCTTCCTATCCCAGCCCATTTGTTGTTGTTCTTTATGAAAATTAAGAATCCATCATGTGACAGTTTTAGTTCTACTAAATGCCAGAGTGTTCATTGTGTTATTCCAGATCCTGACATTAGATTGAGCGGATGAAGAGCTCTATATTAGAAATGGTTAGGAACTTAGGACTAGGAGATAATTATATTAGTTTGCTGAAGCTGTAGATTGCCTGAAATAAGGAAAATTGATCTCACTGTTCCAAAGAACCGAAAGAGGCAAAGCAAATCTAAGTACCAGCTTCATTGAACAATGACTTTTACTGACCCACCACCGGAAGCGAGAATAGGGAACTCAATTGAAACAAACAGTTAAATTCCATAATGGTGAAGAACTATAGGAGGAAGAAGAGATCTGCATGAACAAGCCAGCCAATGCTGCAAAAGCATTCGAGAGCATATCTCAATAAATGGCTTCCTATCCCAACCCCATTTGTTGTTGTTCTTTATGAAAAGTAAGCACAAATTGAACTTTTAACTGTGACTTGTATTTTATTACAACCCCAACAATGAAAATATTGTATTTGGTTTTCGTTTTAGCTGCCTTGTTAATATTATTTTCTTCTAACAGTCTCAAGTGTCCTCTCTGCACATTACCTTTCTATCTGAAGCTGAATGGTACATATTAAAGGATAAAAGATTCCACAGAGGATGGGAATGCAATACCACTGGAAGAATAGCGACTATAAAAGGTTAGTGCTGCCAGAATTTTTTCTTAATTGTGATATAAACTTCACCTTTTACTTAAGTACACACTTAACAATTGTTGTCTTATCAACGTTCTATATTCGAGTTAATGCTGCAATCTTGGATCAATTCTACAATTGGCTGATTTTTTTTTTTTTGCTTATAAATGATAAAATATTAAATCACAAAGAAATGAAATTTATTCTGTATGTTTCCGGAGTAGTAGTTTAAATATAAAACCATATAACATGCCAGAAATCATAGGGCTCAATAGCGGTTAGAACTTGACACTCCATCTTAGAAATGAAAGTAATTTAACTAGTTTAGCACAATGCATTATCTTAAAGAAGCGCTACATAACATAAAAATAATCAATGGATGAAATTATGTGGTATAGTATTTGTTATTTTGTTTTATCTGTTTGGTATGTAACTTGTGGAGTAGAAGTTTGTTTTTCTTACATTTATTACCTATTGCCTTTCTAATTGAAGGAAACTATTTTTTCATCATACTAATTTATAAATATTAAAAATACTGAAATGATTTAAATAAATAAAGAATTTAAATAGAGGAATGTAGACACGAAGTTAATGAGTAGAGTAAGATAAACCGAAGAATGATTTTTTATTGAGGCATGTATGAACAGTTTCCTTAAGACAAGTTCGTCCTCTCCTTGGTACTTTGAGTAACATTGGACGTCGGTCACGCAGGATATAAGAACAAACATCACAACAATAAGCACAATCGTAGTGATCATTCGAACACAATCTTGCCTTTCTCTATCAAAAAAAGAATGAATTTGGAAGGAACTTTCTAAGTGTTTTCCTAATTTTGTAATACCCCAAATATCGGGTCGGTGACCATAGTGAAAGGATTTAAAATTTGGTGGGTTAAATTGAGTAAATTGAAAAGTATAGGGAATGATTTAGGAAATTGTGTTTAAGACTAATTATTAAGAATAGAAAAATGGACAGGTAATTTAGTCTTTTAAAAGGAATGAATTTAATATTCATTCTTTTTGGGGATATTTAATAAGGTTGAAAACGGGGAATTGGTAAAAAGCTGAAAGCTGAAGCTTGGTACTCTTATCTTTCTTCTTCCCGTCGTCCCCGTGCTGATACGATCAATATGGGTGACGTGAACTATCCACTGGATAAAACAGGTGCACTTCCATATCCTTTACATTTAACATGCAAATGTATGCATAAATGAGTAAATATATTATAAAATAAGGAAGAACTCCCTTATGATACCATACGATACGATCCGATCTACCTTATCAAATGATTGTGGATCTAGGAAGGAAGCAAAACAACCTGCATAAGAAAAGGGTAAGAAATGGATAGTTTAAGTGGTAAACGTGATGGTAAATGGACGGATAAGAGATGGTAGCGGAAGACTTGGTTGTGGTTATGATATAGAAACGAAATAACGGAATGGTAAATATGATAGTATCTTAAGGAAGACTCAAAGAAGAACCAATGTTAAAGAACAAAGACCCAGACTTTATATTGCTCCAATAAGGGATGGTAAATAAGGAACGGATAGTATCTTAGAATAACCAAGGAAGAACCAGTGCTATAATGAGCAAAGACCCAGCCTTACAAATCATTCTAAGGGGTGGTAACAAGGAATTTGACCCACTATCTATAAAAAGTCCACTTGTTTGGTCGATAAAAAGTCACAAGGACTTAAATGAGAGAATAATCTCACTTAATTAATCATAATGAGGTCCTGTTATAAAGCAATATGAAAGCCTATTTATATAACTTAGAAGTGTTTGGCCAAATTCTTCAAGTTGTTGTTAAGTGGAGACAAGCATCTTGCTTTGTTGGCATGCACATGGGCTGTTTTGTAGTGCAATTTCGTGTAGGATGTGCAGCAGCAATTTGGGCGTGTATTGTCTTCATTTCAAGCTTAATTTGAGTAGATAATTAAAAAAACAAGGGCTGGTGGTGTTGAGTTGTCATTTGTGCACTTCCAGCCGAAATTCCCTCCACAAGTTACCCCACAATCTGCCATGAGTTGTTGGTGAGTTGTCATGTTTCCTTAATGCTCCAACAAGTTACCAATTGTGTGTAATGCTCCAATAAACCTTGCTTCCATGTTTGTGAACTGGATGTGTCTTCTAAGTGCTCCACTAGACTGTCCTAACATGTGGCATGTTCTCCATTAAGGCCTCTCAAGCATAAGTCCATTGAAGGAGATGAATAGCTACAAATCCCGTACTTATTTCCAGCCTGCACTGTCTTCAGTAATTTGGACATATCTCGAGATCAACATATTAGATTGATTTGATTCAAAGTGCGTTGGAAATCTAAGAAATAGTGAAACAAATTTTAAGATTTATCACCCAAATATGCTTGGAACATGTCCAGAAATGGCGATCAATATGGGTGACGTGAACTGTCCATTGGATAAAACTGGTGCACTGCCATATCCTTTACATTTAACATGCAAATGTATGCATAAATGAGTAAATATATTATAAAATAAGGAATAACTCCCTTATAATCAACAAGGTTGAACGTCCATGATGTGATAAAATAATGGATAAAACTGGTGCTAGTCAGGATCACATCATTCTCCCCTTCTTTTGGGCGATTTGTCCTCAAATCGAAGGGTGAGTTCTCTTTAATGTATTTTTCTTTTTTTTTTTGTTTCTGTTGCAAGTTGCTTCTTCCACCAAGGCTCTGATACCATATGATATGATCCGATCTGCCTTATCGAATGATTGTGGATATAGGAAAGAATCAAAACAACATGCATAAAATAAATGGTAACAAATGGATAGTTTAAGGTGGTAAATGTTATGGTAAATGGTCGTTTTAAGGGATGGTAGCGGAAGACGTTTGGTTGTGGTTATGAAATGGTTTACGAATTAACAGAATTGTAAATATGATAGTATCTTTAGAAAGACTCAAAGAAGAACCAATGTTAAAGAACAAAGACCCATACTTTATATTGCTCCAATAAGGGATGGTAAATAAGGAATGGATAGTATCTTAGAATAACCAAGGAAGAACCAGTGCTATAATGAACAAAGACCCAGCCTTACAAATCGTTCTAAGGGGTGGTAACAAGGAATTTGACCCACTATCTATATAGAGATAGGAACCAGAATTATCATAATGAAAGGAATTGACGCCACAAGTAACAAGTTACTTGTTTGGTCGATAAAAAGTCACAAAGACTTAAACAAGAGAATAATCTCACTTAATTCATCATAATGAGCTCCTGTTATAATGCAATTGAAAGCCTATTTATAGGACTTAGAAGTGTTTGGTCGAATTCTTCAAGTTGTTGTTAAGTGGAGACAAGCATCTTGCTTTGTTGGCATGCACATGGGTGTTTTGTAGTGCAATTTCGTGTAGGATGTGAAGCAGCAATTTGGGCGTGTATTGTCTTCATTTCAAGCTTAATTTGAGTAGATAATTAAAAAAACAAGGGCTGGTGGTGTTGAGTTGTCATTTGTGCACTTCCAGCCGAAATTCCCTCCACAAGTTACCCCACAATCTGCCATGAGTTGTTGGTGAGTTGTCATGTTTCCTTAATGCTCCAACAAGTTACCAATTGTGTGTAATGCTCCAATAAACCTTGCTTCCATGTTTGTGAACTGGATGTGTCTTCTAAGTGCTCCACTAGACTGTCCTAACATGTGGCATGTTCTCCATTAAGGCCTCTCAAGCATAAGTCCATTGAAGGAGATGAATAGCTACAAATCCCGTACTTATTTCCAGCATGCACTGTCTTCAGTAATTTGAACATATCTCGAGATCCACATATCAGACTGATTTGATTCAAAGTGCGTTGGAAATCTAAGAAATATTGAAACAAATGTTAAGAAGACTTTATTACCCAAATATGCTTGGAACATGTCCAGAAATGGTGATCAATATGGGTGACGTGAACTGTCCACTAGATAAAACTGGTGCACTGCCATATCCTTTACATTTAACATGAAAATGTATGCATAAATGAGTAAATATATTATAAAATAAGGAAGAACTCCATTATAATCAACAAGGTAGAATGTCCATGATGTGATAAAATAATGGATAAAACTGGTGCTAGTCAGGATCACATCATTCTCCCCTTCTTTTGGGCGATTTGTCCTCAAATCGAAGGGTGACTTCTCTTTAGTGTATTTTTCTTCTTTTTTTTTTGTTTCTGTTGCAAGTTGCTTCTTCCACCAAGGTTCTGATACCATATGATACGATCCGATCTGCCTTATCGAATTATTGTGGATATAGGAAAGAAGCAAAACAACCTGCATAAAATAAATGGTAACAAATGGATAGTTTAAGGTGGTAAATGTTATGGTAAATCGTCGTTTTAAGGGATGGTAGCGGAAGACGTTTGGTTGTGGTTATGAAATGGTTTACGAATTAACGGAATGGTAAATATGATAGTATCTTAAGGAAGACTCAAAGAAGAACCAATGTTAAAGAACAAAGACCCAGACTTTATATTGCTCCAATAAGGGATGGTAAATAAGGAATGGATAGTATCTTAGAATAACCAAGGAAGAACCAGTGCAATAAAGAGCAAAGACCCAGCCTTACAAATCATTCTAAGGGGTGGTAACAAGGAATTTGACCCACTATCTATATAGAGATAGGAACTAGAATTATCATAATGAAAGGAATTGACGCCACAAGTAACAAGTTACTTGTTTGGTCGATAAAAAGTCACTAGGACTTAAATAAGAGAATAATCTCACTTAATTCATCATAATGAGCTCCTGTTATAATGCTATATGAAAGCCTATTTATAGGACTTAGAAGTGTTTGGCCGAATTCTTGAAGTTGTTGTTAAGTGGAGACAAGCATCTTGCTTTGTTGGCATGCACATGGGCTGTTTTGTAGTGCAATTCGTGTAGGATGTGCAGCAGCAATTTGGGCGTGTATTGTCTTCATTTCAAGCTTAATTTGAGTAGATAATTAACAAAACAAGGGCTGGTGGTGTTGAGTTGTCATTTGTGCACTTCCAGCCGAAATTCCCTCCACAAGCTGCCCCACAATCTGCCATGAGTTGTTGGTGAGTTGTCATGTTTCCTTAATGCTCCAACAAGTTACCAATTGTGTGTAATGCTCCAATAAACCTTGCTTCCATGTTTGTGAGTTGGATGTGTCTTATAAGTGCTCCACTAGACTTCCTAACATGTGGCATGTTCTCCATTAAGGCCTCTCAAGCATAAGTCCATTGAAGGAGATGAATAGCTACAAATCCCGTACTTATTTCCAGCCTGCACTGTCTTCAGTAATTTGGACATATCTCGAGCTTCACATATCATATTGATTTGATTAAAAGTGCGTTGGAAAGCTCAGAAATAGTGAAACAAATGTAAAGAAGACTTTATCACCCAAATATGCTTGGAACATGTCCAGAAATGGCGATCAATATGGGTGACGTGAACTGTCCACTGGATAAAACTGGTGCACTGCCATATCCTTTACATTTAACATGAAAATGTATGCATAAATGAGTAAATATATTATAAAATAAGGAATAACTGCCTTATAATCAACAAGGTAGAATGTCCATGATGTGATAAAATAATGGATAAAATTGGTGCTAGTCAGGATCACATTACGTGCCCTATGTAGAAAAGGTAAGGTTTCTTCAAGTTGGTTTTTCCTTTCGCTTTTGGGTTGGTTTTGAAACCTTAAGTGATATAGAGGCTTAAGGAAAGTTCAAGGAGGATTAAAACTAAGGGATGAAGGATTTATTTGAGATTTAATAAAATGGACTTTGTTTCAGGGCTACCTTTGACACCAAGTAAAAAGGGCTCAATATGGGTAATTGTGGACAGATTGACCAAGAAATCTCACTTAATCCAGTTCGGATAGATTACTCGATGGATAAATATGTAGAGTTGTATATAAAAGAGATAGTTCGGCTGCATGGAGTACCAATTTCAATAGTATCCGATAGATATCCCAGGTTTACTTCAAGATTCTAGAAGTCTTTGCACGAGGCATTAGGTGTTACAAAGTCAACATTGTGAATTGTGTCTCAAGGTTGTCTCTAGGATTTGTGCCTTAACTAGCCTATTTACAGAGGAAGAAATGGATTGAAGGGTTAAGACCTTTCGGTGAAAGGGCTTAACCTTTTCATAAAAGGATTTAATCTTTTCATAAAGAGAATTTTTGAATAGGTATGACTGAATAGATGCAACATTAAACCAAAAATTAAGTTCATTCACCAAGTAAAATGACTTATTATTAATTAGTTATAAATAACATTAATTCTTTCAATTATTTTTCCAATAATCCCCCACATGAAAGAACTTGATGGTTCAAACACTGACTCGATATAGTGATATATTCTACGTTTGATATTTGCATAGGATAGGTAGGTGTCCCCCTTTGAACCTTCCCTTGTGAAAATATGTTTATCTTACTAGTTGTCCAGTAGATGTGATGTCCTTGAATTGTCATGTTGTTTTTGTAAGAGATGACATACCTCACAAAAATATCTCACTAACAAGAATTTGGTTCTCATGCTTATGTCCATATAGCCGTGGACATCTCCTGGTTATGCAACAGTTTAGAAAACTATGCCCCACTAGTCTTTTTGAAGCGGCTCCACTTAACTCTCACATAGGTGACTTATGTCGTACGGCTCAACGAAACACATAGTTGTCATTAAAAGCATTGCTTAACATTTTCCATATTTTAGTCATTGTTTTCATCATATGGATGGACTTGGGATAACAACCCATACAATGACCTAACAAGGTCTATATAAGTAGGTTGTCCCAATTGAACCTAGATCTTGGCATCTCCAGTCAACTAGGTTGGGTATTCCTTCACATAACGCCTTAAATATTTATGCGCTTTAGTCATATTACTTTCGATATTTATCAACTTGATCTCAATTCAACTCATTGGATAGCATATCCGCAATATTATCTTTTGATCTTACAAAATCAATGAAGATAATCAGTTATCTAAAGGTATTATGTCGACAACTCATGTGTCTTGACATGTCATTATACATTATACAAGACACCCTACACTTTTATGTAGTTGTAGTAAGGTTTTGTTCTATTCCATTTCCATAACTCATATGATGTCTTGTCCATTTTCTTGTGCGTTACCTTATTTAAAGGCGTAACGGTTAAAAAAATAATGCACGGGGTGCAAACTGCAATTTACTTTTGGAACTTACTTTGACATGCAACCTGCAAAGGTATACCAACGTGTCTTATCATTGCACAAGGGTTATTGAAAATAAAGACACATGCCTTTGTAATTTAGTGATTCATGCAAAAGCAATATCATTTGCAAGTTATCCACGTAAATTATCCATGTAAACAAGAAGTTCTGCCAATTCACTCGACTTAAGTCTTCAAGGCTGGTTTCAATGATGACGCTCGTATACTCGACTTAACAGTGTAATATCTAGTTAGAATTCCAATGCTGTTGCAAACCGTGCTAACCAACAATTCCGAATGAGTTGTAAATGTCTCCCTCTAATGTTTGTTTCGATTTAATAAATCATTCGTTCATATATCTTGGATTAGAATAAAAAACATATAATTAATCTTAAGATTGTTAGATAAAATGTTAACCCGAGATAAAAATAATAATAATAAACATATATTATTATTGAATTGAACGAACGAAAATAAGTAAAGAATTAAAATATAGGAACGTGATTTGTTTACTCGTATATAGACACGAATTCGAAGGAATAGAGTAAGATAAACCGAAGAAGAAATTTTTGCTGAGGCATGGATGAACAATTTCCTTAAGACAAATTCATCCTCTCCTAGGTGCTTTGAGTAACGTTGGACTTCGGTCTCCCATGATACAATAAAAAAGGGTCACAACAGTAAGCACAACTGTAATGATCAGTCGAACACAATCTTGTCTTTCTCTATCACCAGAAAGAACGAATTTGAAAGGAACTTTGTAAGTGTTTTCCTAATTCTTCATTGTGAACTGTGTCTCAAGGTTGTCTATGGGATTTACGCCTTAACTAAATCCTTTTGCTTAGTGTTTTCAGGCTTGCTTGGGTGCCAAAATGTCCATGGATTATTCCGAGGCATCTAAGGCCGCACACATTCCAAATTTTAAGGTTCCAAGGGTGTTCAAGTGCAAGACCACATACAATCACCATTGTGTCGATTAGATACTTATTCATCCTTCACAATGTCTCTTTCTCTACGTGACCCTAGATTCTTTTTGAAGCCTTCCTGTTCAAAATTACTTTGAGCTCTAATATCATTTTTATACTCACTACTGCAAAATGGGTTAATATCGGTATTTTTAACGGTATTTTTTGAACAAACGTTGGTAACTTTATTGTTATCGCGGCATTTTTAGAACAAACGCCACAAAATAATAAAATTTGCGGCGTTTTGATAGAAATGCCACTAATTTTATGCATATCGCAGCATTTTAAGCAAAAACGCCGATAAAGACTAGAACTTTAGTGGTGTTTTCATACAAACGCCGTTATAGACTAGTACTTTAGTGGTGTTTTTATACAAAAGTGTCTAAAGACTTGTACTTTAGTGTCGTTTTTATACAAACACCACTAATGACTCATACTTTAGTAGCGTTTTTATACAAAAGTTTTAATAGGACACATATATAATGGCATTTTGAAAAACGTCGTAAGAGATTCATATTGTAATAGCGTTTTTTGAATAAACGTCGCAATTTATCAATACATTAGTGGCACTTGTATACAAATGCCGCTAAAAACTGTACTTTAGTGAAATTTTTATACAAACGTCGCTATATACTCGGACATCAGTGGCGTTTTTATACAAATATTGCTATAAAATCGTACTTTAGTGGCATTTTTATAAAATTGTCGCTAAAGACTCGTACTTGGCGTTTGTGTTTACAAAAGCTGTGAGTTTACAGTTTCTAAGTCATGCCCCTTTTCATTTTT